TAACTTAGAATTGATTACATTTTGGTCGTCATCCGGAATTAATTAATTAATTAAATTTTCAGGATACGTCAGAAATCGGGTAACTTAGAATTGATTACATTTTGGTCGTCATCCGGATCCAATTAATTAATAAATTTTTTCACAGTGACAGAATTCAGCTGCCTTGGCGGAAGTCTGTGCTCTCCGAGTGCTCTAGTTTATTTATGTAATCGCCACGAAGCACGAGTGTGCGAGAGAGAGAGAGAGAGAGAAACGCACGTGTGATGATTGAAACGCACGCGAGAAGACACGGGGAGGAGCGTGACGATCATTCTGCACACAGCAGATATGTGAGCAGCAGAGATGTGAGCAGCAGATATGTGAGCAGCAGATATGTGAGCAGCAGAGATGTGAGCAGCAGAGATGTTAGCAGCAGATATGTGAGCAGCGAAGATGAGAGCAGCAGATATCTGAGCAGCAGAGATGGGAGCAGTAGAGATGTGAGCAGAGAGATGGGAGCAGCAGATATCTGAGCAGCGGAGATGTGAGCAGCGAAGATGAGAGCAGCAGATATCTGAGCATAGGAGATGGGAGCAGCAGATATGTGAGCAGCAGAGATGTAATTATTCTCGATGAACGATAAACGATTATTTTGCATAAAAGCGGAACGGTGATCTTTGACGGAACGCCATCTTTCAGTGACGATCGAAATGCACGTGAGCTTTATCGAGTATATTAATTCAATTAACTTATTAAGTTCATTCATGCAATCGCCACCGAGCTACGACATGTCATAATTCTCGATGAACGATAAACGATTATTTTGCATTAAGATGTTAAGCGGAAATCGTTGATGGAGTGCCATCTTTCAGTCCGTTAAGTTTCCGCAACTTTCCGCTACCGGACCAGTTTGGTTCGTTTGATGCTAGACCGTACTGACCATTCCGTAAAGCAGGTCGAGAGCTCTCAGCCTGATGCTTTCATCTTTGTCATCGAGGCAGCTGAGAATCAGGTCCTTGTGAGCCTGCACAGACTTTGGATGCGTCTTCAAGATTTTCGACATGGCGAGAAGCCCAAGATATTTCACTGAAATAAACAGTGAAGTAAACATTCAGTTAAAGAAATATTGAATAAACATTCAGTGAAATAAACATTCAGTGAAATAACACTGGAATAAACATTCAGTGGAGTTTGCATAAAATTTTTATCTTGCAGTTAGTGTAAGCATACCCATCGGCTTTCGTTTTGACCTCATTCCACTATCAAACTCTCAATAATATGTGGTTACTATGATATGAAAATTGACACTATAACGCTGGAGATTTTATCCTTACGACACATGATACGTTAGGATAAATACTGCCATGATTTTTAGATTTTTACGAGTGACTGAGAAACTTACAGTTTTGATCTGAATCTTCTATCAGTATCCTAAGCTTTTGCACACACAGCTGGAAAATGGAATTATGGAACAAGCAATATAAGTATTCTGTCACTTGAAATGAAACACGTGCTCTTTAGGAATGCCCATTGAAGATGAAAATCACGTTATGTGAACTACATATTTCACAACAATCACAGCCGGACGTTAGCTGATGTAGGTACAGAGGCTTACACATCAGGAGTTAATAATGATAAATTTGTCATTAACTCCTGTTACACATGTAAACACCAGATGTATTATATACACGGCACGTAATGTGACCACCTTTACACTAACACTAAAACTTACAAATATGACGATAAAACCTCACTGTTGATAACGTAATAGTCGTAATTAATAGTGATACCTTAGCACTTCGAGATAAGAAACAGATTATTCAAGTTACCATCTAGTAGTAAAGAGTATTAGTAATTCTACAAATTCATTGTATAATGATATAGATGTTACTCAAGTAATATTACATCCTTCCTTTTTCCTCGCTGTACGAATAAAAAAAAATCTACAAAGATTAAAATTACCACCTTGAATATATCAATTGAAAATAGATAAAATGTTCCTTGCATAAACAAACATCCCCTACGAATTACGCGAGTCATTTTGAATTGAATAATGTTAATTGGACCAGAGAATTTTGTACGAATTACGAATTACAGAATACGAATTATACAACGGAAATTAAAGGGAATAAAGAGGAGAAATATTGGGAGCATATGTTTTTGTACGAATTAGGTCATTCTACGAATAAAGTGATGACGAATTAAGCGAGGTTGAATGTAATAACAAAAAGACGGCAAAACCGCGACGCGCGACTCGTCAGGCGAGAGCTACTTTCAGTTACTTACCACTCGAAGTTGGTGATGTACTGGTAGTTGTTCTGCGAGCAGATCTCGATGATCTTAGAGAGCAGCTCGTCTCGGTAAGCCGTGCCCTCCGCGCGATCCATGTGAACCATTAGCTTCTTCACAATCTCCATCAGGTTCTTTTTCGACACCTGCGAGAGACACGAGAGAGACGCGGCGTGACGATCGAAACGCACGACAATGAAACGCACGCGTGTATTACTGAATACATTCGTTTAACGAATTTATTACCTCTGCCACGGGGTTGGCAGGAGGTTATGTTTTCACCGGCGTGTGTTTGTTTGTTTGTGGGTTTGTTGGTTTGTGGGTTTGTTTGTGTACAGCCTAACTGAAAAAGTTATGGACGGATTGTCATAAAATGTTCAGGATAGGTCAGAAATGGGCTAACTTAGAATTGATGAGATTTTGGTGGTGATCCAGATCCAATTAATTAATTACTTAATTACTTAATTAATAACATTTTCAGGATAGGTCAGAAATGGGGTAAGTTAGAATTGATTACATTTTCATTTTGGTGGTGATTCGGATCCAATTAATTATTTAATTAATAAAATTTTCAGGATACGTCAGAAATCGGGTAACTTAGAATTGATTACATTTTGGTCGTCATCCGGATCCAATTAATTAATAAAATTTTTCACAGTGACAGAATTCAGCGGTCTTGGCGGAGGTCTGTGCTCTCCGAGTGCTCTAGTTTATTTATTCATGTAATCGCCACGGAGCATGAGTGTGCGAGATAGAGAGAGAAACGCACGCGGAATGATCGAAACGCACGCGAGAAGACACGGGGAGGAGCGTGACGATCATTCTGCACACAGCAGATATGTGAGCCGCAGAGATGTGAGCAGCAGATATGTGAGCAGCAGATATGTGAGCAGCAGATATGTGAGCCGCAGAGATGTGAGCAGCAGAGATGTGTGTGAGCAGATATGTGAGCAGCAGATATGTGAGCCGCAGAGATGTGAGCAGCAGAGATGTGTGTGAGCAGATATGTGAGCAGCAGATATGTGAGCCGCAGAGATGTGAGCAGCAGAGATGTGTGTGAGCAGCAGATATGTGAGCAGCAGATATGTGTGTGAGCAGCAGAGATGTGAGCAGCAGATATGTGAGCCGCAGAGATGTGAGCAGCAGAGATGTGTGTGAGCAGCAGATATGTGAGCAGCAGATATGTGTGTGAGCAGCAGAGATGTGAGCAGCAGATATGTGAGCCGCAGAGATGTGAGCAGCAGAGATGTGTGTGAGCAGCAGATATGTGAGCAGCAGATATGTGTGTGAGCAGCAGAGGTGTGAGCA